TCATTTATCATGTAACCCTTATGTGGATCTTAATGTGGAGATTACATGATAAATGACTTTGATCTTGTCAGGATTACCGAACAATCTTAACTTTTTGTAATTCTTATTATAAATTTATAACATTACGTGATATTATAATTATAGAATTTTTGTTTAGCTTTATATAAAAAAATAATTTTTTAATAAGATAATAAAAATGTTTAAACATCCTTAAAGCATTATCAAATCTATTAAAAATGTTTTTAAGTACTTTCGAGCTTCAACCACCAGACGAGACCTAATTGATGTATCATTACATTTTTTGTGGGTGCATTGATGATGTAATAGAGAAAAGGAAATAGTTCTACCATTTTCTAAATAACTCTCAATTGGTTTTAAAATCCGAAGTGAAGATCTTAAATTGAAATTTTAAGCTGTCATGAGGTGAGACAGGCTGGGAAGCATATCATGTGTCATAATTATATACCATTAAACAAAACTTTTATGTTGTACCAATAATTTATTGCCATCAAGTACAGGATCCTCCATCTTTGCAATGAGTTTCTCCAAATGAATAATTGGATATGTAATAGTAATAAGAGTTTATGTTTTCTGGCTGAAACTGTATATGAAAAGTATAGTTTGAGTATTAAAAGTATTAAATTGTTATTAATAAATAAACATAGAAAAGAGTTACATAAAATATATTTAGTAATTTCAGTATAAAAATGTTATTTGATTTGAAAAATACTTTTTAATAATAATAAAACTATGATATTTTGGTTCTAGACAATTGATCAATCCATATCAAAGGGCTGTCTGTGAAATTGAAGAATGCAATCTGTTATCTGTGGGTGTGGAACCCAGTTTCTCAGCTGTCTTTTGCTGTTTGGGAAACTTGCATTAATGTGAGTAAGGATTTTACTTACATCCATACAACTCCTATCTATCTATCTGTGTGTGTATGTGTTTTTTTATGACTATCTATCCTTTCACATGTTAGGGTATGGGTTTTGTGTTCTTTTGTCACACAAAGGCATTGAACTTTTCTTTTTATTTCCAGTTTTTAACTTTTTGCTAGTTTCCAGGCTTTTCGAAGTGAAGTTTGGCCATAATGTCTTTATAACACGTTGCTGGCTGAACCCTTTGTGCTTACTTTTCTCTTCCTTTTTGTTTGTTTTGTTCAATTGTGGATGGTAGAAGAACATACAACCCACCAATTTCATTTTACATATGGTAATTAATGATTCTTTGAAGAGCTTTATTCGTAATAGAAATTCTCAATAATGCACTGAAATTAAAGGAGAGAATATATATTTGTTAACTATAATTTAGGTATAGTAATTTATTTTTTAATATTTGCAGTCAAAATATGCTTACACCATAAATTATAAATTTATTAGATGATACCATGTGTTATGTGATTGAAACAAATGGCTACGATTAAGTTATGTCATATCTGATTTTGCTACGATTTGGAGCATGATAGACCCTGCTAATGATGGCTATGTGGAATGTTAGATTTGCAGTTCAGTTGTTGGTAATTATCTCTTAATAATATAGTGTTATTTGATATTAGTTAAGATAATTGCTGAATTTTAAGGGGAATTACCAACCAAGTTTAGCAAATGGGAACATGGGAGGCTAATATGATGAAGTGGTGGATAGGTGGCGAGTTTTGAAGTAATCTTTGATCAAGTCTCTTGTTAACATGTCCAGTTAAACAAGAGTTTTGACCACATATTTGCAGTTGAGTTGTGGGTGGT